CTCTGTTAGGAAAGAAGTAACATTTAATAATTTCAATATTAAATTGCTAACTTTCAAGTCTATTACAATAAAATCTGCATATCACATGTGTGCCTACAAAGTAACTCTAATTCTCAATACTAGCAGGTAATTCAGAATTGCAACAATGGATTCCATGCACGCAACAATCTAAAGCACAGCACATAGGAAGTGTTTGCCAGATAGCGTTAAAACATTAATGGGGAGATGACTGAGTGCTGACTCTTAACAATCAGAACCACCGAACATAAACATTAGATCAAATGTTAAACACAAAATAAAAGGAAATCCATGAAAAACAAGTAGAAGAAAGAAAAAACATCCCGCGGAAAGATAATTCATATGGTAGTTGAAACATTCAGCACACAACTGGAAAGACTATTAAGAAACTGAACACGCTAACCAAAATCATACATCTTCAATCCCCATTTACCTGAACATGCAAATTATTTTCAACTTCCATAACTTCAATAATTAATAAAATTATACATTCATATACCTTGGTACACTCGTAATGGCCAGAATCACAAAGCCCTCCGCAATTCCCACAAACCAATGAAGTTGGCTTCTTCATCAGATTGCCAAAAACATCTGAATATGAAGTCAATGGTGGCAATTTGAATCCACTCTCAGCCAATTCCCCCCTTCTATACCTCATGCTAGGGGGCACTGAAATAGGCTTCAGAGAATTTGGCATTGCAACAACCCGAACCCCATTTGGAGCTCCTTCCTCAATTTTAACCTCATGCTTATCCTCATTATTCACCATAAAATCATCTCCATCGGAAGGTGCACTGAAATTGATCAACCCCCACTTCTCCAAGGAGAGAAAGACCTTGTGAAGCAAACTAACATCACCAACTAGTGATTTCCGAACCTCTGTGAATGTGAGCCTCCTTGAAGGATCTTCTCTATACTTATTAATAATAAAATCTCTGTATTCTTTGTATACTTTTGGTGTTCTTGTAATAGAGCTTCCATCAAAAAACTCCTTTAGAGCGACTCTTTCAGTTTCATGGATGTCGTCCCAACAAAACCAACCTAACAATAATTAAACTATAGTCAAAAATTTTGCCTACTCTTCTTGTTTTTGAATAAACCATGATATTATAAGCTCCAACAGCTTGAATGAATATAATAGTTTTAAGCAACACACATAACATTCAATTAACTAATTTATCCGAATAACTTTTCAGCGAAATAAAGGAACACCATACGCACTGCCCAAGCTCCTGTGAAGTAGTTGATTCTATTTCCCAAAATGAACAGAGGTTTTAGGAGGCACAATAAGTATGCCAAGATATAACTAAAAGCACAGGTTGGAGAAGAGAGAGAGAGAGAGAGAGAGAGAGAGAGAGAGAGAGAGAGAGAGAGAGAGAGAGGAAGAGAGAGTTACAGGAGTGGCTAGGGATGGTGTAAAAATCGAGCTCTGGTTCCTCAGGCTGGATATGTTTCGAATTCAGATCCTGGCTAGTTCCCTCCATACCGGACCTTGTGACCTGGCGAGGTAGATGATTCGTTCGAGTCCGATCGACGATTTGCTCTATTTGGTGTCGACATATAATAAAGTGAGAACCGAGAATTCACATATTAATGTCAAATTTCTCTAAAGCACCTAATCACCCAACCGTTAATTACAATTTCGTATTTTTTAATTTGTAAAAATATTATAAAAATATTAAATTTTAATTTAAATTATATTGATTTAAGTTCGTATATTACAGCAACACTGGACTTTATAAAATCATATACATATCACAGCATTTTACATTGA